ACTATGCATTAAGAACTGAACAACCCCAACCTCTCAATGCGGATAGCACTCCTGATGCAAAGAAGGAGCATGAGAAGTGGGAGCGTTCAAATCGCATGAGTCTTATGATCATTAAGCGCGGCGTTCCGGAAGCCTTCAGGGGCATAGAATCCGAAGGGATTACTAAGGCTAAAGATTTCCTTGCCGAAATTGAGAAGCGTTTTGCGAAAAACGATAAGGTAGAAACAAGCACGCTTTTAGCTCGCTTGATTTCAATGAAGTATAAGGGCAAAGGAAATATCAGGGAGTACATTATGGAAATGTCTCATATTGCTTCAAAGCTTAAGGCACTTAAACTCGATCTTTGTGACGAGTTATTAGTGCATCTGGTTTTGTTGTCTCTTCCTGCACAGTTTAACCAATTTAAGGTCAGTTATAACTGTCAAAAGGAGAAATGGACTCTAAATGAGCTCATTTCATACTGTGTGCAAGAAGAAGACAGGTTGAAGCAAGATAAGACAGAAAGTGCTCATTTGGCCTATGCCTCTAAGGATAAGGGCAAGAAAAGGAAGAATGATAAGGAAGCTGCTAAGGGTCCAGTTGAGAAGAAACAACATAAGGATAATCAGGGTTGTTTCTTCTGTAAGAAGCCTGGACATGTAAAGAAGGACTGTACAAAATATCACGCCTGGCGTGATAATAAGGGTACGTTCGTTACTTTGGTCTGTTCTGAGGTTAATTTAGCTTCAGTACTTAGAAACACTTGGTGGTTAGACTCTGGTGCTACTACTCACATAAGTGTTTCTATGCAGGGTTGCATGAGCTACCGAAAGCCAAGTGATGTTGAAAGACACATCTTTGTGGGCGACGGACAATCGGTAGATGTGGAAGCAATTGGGCACTTTAGGTTGTTGTTAGGAACTGGTTATTATTTGGATTTAAAAGATACTTTTGTAGTACCGTCTTTTAGACGGAATTTGATTTCAGTTTCTGTATTGGACAAATCAGGTTATTCTTGTTTATTTGGAAACAATCAATTCAGATTATCTTTTAATTCAAATATTTTGGGAACTGGTTACTTAAGTACTTATGACAACCTATATTTGCTCGATATAATTGCTTCTTATAATAAATCCTTACATGTAGAATCACGTGGTACTAAGCGTAAATTAAATAAGAAAAATTCGGCGACATTATGGCATAAGCGCTTGGGTCATATCTCAAAAGGTAGAGTTGAGCGTCTTGTGTCTGATGACATTTTGGATTCCCTTGATTTTTCGGACTTCGACATATGTGTTGAATGTATGAAGGGAAAACAGACCAAAGTGAAGAGATTAGGTGCAAACAGATCTTCAGATGTCTTAGAATTGATACATACGGATATTTGTGGGCCATTCCCTACGGAATCCTGAAATGATCAACAATATTTTATATCATTCATAGACGATTACTCACGTTATGGGCACCTATATCTTATTCATGAAAAATCTGAGTCTCTGGACATGTTCAAAGTCTATAAAGCTGAAGTTGATAATCAACTCAACAGAAGAATTAAAACCGACAGATCTGATCGTGGTGGTGAGTACTACGGTAGATATGATGGTTTAGGTGAACAACGTCCAGGACCATTTGCTAGATACCTAGAGGAATACGGTATCGTCCCACAGTACACTATGCCGGGTTCACCTAGCATGAATGGTGTAGCTGAAAGACGAAACAAGACTCTTAAGGATATGGTAAGAAGTATGATTGCTCATTCTTCTTTACCAGAGTCACTCTGGGGAGAAGCACTTAAGACAGCAGCTTACATTCTGAATAGAGTACCAAGTAAAGCAGTTGCTAAAACACCTTATGAGCTTTGGACTGGTCGAAAGCCCAGTTTAAAGCATTTACATATTTGGGGATGTCCAGCTGAGGCAAGGCCTTATAGGCCAAATGAAAAGAAATTGGACTCCAAAACAGTTAGCCGCTACTTTATTGGATACTCTGAACGCTCTAGGGGCTTTAAGTTTTATGATCCCACTATAAGGAACATTTTTGAGACGGGAACAGCAACATTCTTTGAGGATGTTGAGTTTGGGGGGAGAAATAAGGTTAGAGACATTAGTTTTGAGGAGGAATTGGCTTCAGATCCAATCCATACAGTTACTTTTGACAATATCCAGGTTCCTACACCTGTTGTTGCTCAAGAAGTAAATCCGGAACCTCAAGATGATAATGTTGAACAACTCCCTGTTCCATAAGAACAAACTCAACAACCTCAAGAACCAGTGCCATTAAGGAGATCCACGAGAGAAAGGAGAAATGCTATTCCGGATGATTATATTGTATTTCTCCAAGAACATGAGGAAAGTAGTGGAATGTTAGAAGATGATCCAATCAACTTCTCTCAGGCCATGAAAAGTTCTAACTCTCAACAGTGGATTGATGCCATGAATGAAGAGTACAAGTCTATGCAAGACAATAAGGTTTGGGAACTTGTCCCATTACCAGAAGGTGCAAAACCAATTGGTTGTAAATGGATTTTTAAAACCAAGCGGGATGCAAACGGTAATGTGGAGAGGTATAAGGCACGTCTTGTGGCTAAAGGCTATACTCAAAAGGAAGGCATTGATTATACAGAGACTTTCTCTCCGGTTTCATCGAAAGACTCTTTCAGAATAATCATGGCACTTGTTGCTCATTATGATCTTGAGTTACATCAGATGGATGTTAAGACTGCATTTCTCAATGGAGACATTGATGAGATGATCTATATGGTGCAACCAGAAAACTTTGTGTCGGGAGACCCAAAGAATATGGTCTGCAAATTAAGGAAATCCATCTATGGACTCAAGCAAGCTCCTCGTCAATGGTATCATAAGTTTCAACAAATAGTTATCTCGTTCGGTTTTGAGATGAACATTGTTGATGACTGTGTATATCACAAGTTCAGTGGGAGTAAGTATATTTTTCTGGTTCTGTATGTGGATGACATCTTGCTTGCCACTAATGATATAGGCATGTTGCACGAAACCAAGAGATTTCTATCAAAGAATTTTGAGATGAAAGATCTTGGGGACGCCTCTTTTATATTAGGGATCCAGATACATCGAGATCGCTCTCGGGGTATTCTTGGATTATCACAAAAGAGCTATATCGATAAGGTACTTAAAAGGTTTGGCATGCAAGATTGCAGACCAGGTGACACCCCTGTTGCTAAAGGAGACAAGTTTAGTCTCAATCAGTGCCCTAAAGGTAACCTTGAAATTCAGGAAATGCAGAAGATTCCTTATGCTTCGGCTGTAGGAAGTCTAATGTATGCTCAGGTATGTACGCGTCCGGATATTGCGTACATTGTTGGGATGTTAGGCAGATACTTAAGCAACCCTGGTATGGATCATTGGATAGCAGTCAAAAGGGTTATGAGGTATCTTCAGAAAACAAAAGATTACATGCTCACATACAGAAAATCAGAGAAATTAGAGGTCATTGGGTATTCGGACTCTGATTTTGCTGGATGCCAAGATAGCAGGAAGTCTACATCAGGCTACATTTATATGTTAGCAGGAGGAGCTATATCATGGAAAAGTGTCAAACAAACACTAGTAGCTTCCTCCACTATGGCAGCAGAATTTGTAGCTTGCTATGAGGCATCCAATCAGGGAATATGGCTGCGAAATTTTGTCACGGGACTGCGCATTTTGGAAAATGTTGAAAGACCACTAAGGCTATATTGTGACAATAAATCTGCAGTAATGTATTCCAATAACAACAGGAGCTCAACTAAGTCAAAACATATTGACATTAAGTTCCTGGTTGTGAAAGAAAGGGTACAGAGTGGACAGATATCCATAGAGCACATTGGGACAAACTCCATGATAGCTGATCCTCTTACTAAGGGATTGCCACCTAAGGTCTTTCATGAGCATACTGCTCATATGGGTGTGGTATTATTTGAGGATATTATGTTTTAGTGGGAGTTTGTATTTGTGGTGCTTTATGTTTGGTTGTATTGTCTGATCAGAATAAAGTATTCAGTTAAGACACTCTGTTACATTATGTTTGGTTTTGACCTCACTAAGGAGGACCAGTTGAAAATAGACATGTACTGATCACATTGCATGTAATTTTCATGCTGCACATCCATGATTGATCTATGTCATTTGATTGTATTGGTATATGTGACCATTGATGGGTCGAGTCACGATAAATGTGACGAAGGCCGCTTTGATCCTATATTGATATAGTCAATGGACGAGATTGTTCGGAAATACCTTTTCAGTGATAGCAATTTTTGAGCTCATAAGGTTATACACAATTTAAGGAATCATATGGTGCCCAAGTGGGAGATTGTTGGATTTAATCTAATAAATCTATTTGTGGGCACATATGATTAATCAATGTGTATTGCTATCTTTCAGGATAACCCACTAAAGTGATCAATTAAGTTGGGTTAATTTGGTATTTAAATAAGTCATGGGGTTATATGTGCAGATACCAGGTTGTAATTGTGATTTATTGAGGGGCTAAATTAGAAAAGTACAACATCTATAAATAAGGGGTTATGGTCCCTAACCTAGGGTTACATTCTCTAATTCTCTACACCCCCATCTAGCTAGAGAAATTCGGTTTTAGAGAAACCCTAAGGTTAGAAGATCATCAAAAACCCAAATCAAGATTTCATCCATGGATTCAGGTATAAGCTTCCGCTCTTTTGATTATTTGTTAATCTCTTTGAATTAATCATGGCTATATGGTTTTAGATCTCAAATTTTATGATGTAGATCTAACATATTATTCACTTGCTAATTTTTTTTTCAACTGTTTTTGGATATTGACAAACCTTTAAGTAGGTATTATACGTTATACTCGAGATCATATTGGACAAAAACTAGTTTTCATCCAAATAAACAGGACAGAGAGAAAAGAAATATGTATATAATTCTTGGTTAACTTAAATTTATTAGAAAACTATATACTGCTAGCGAAACTAAATTTAAAGAGAAAAAAAGAAAATAAAATAAAAGATTTTGCTGTACCTCATCAGCAATCATAGCTATAAGAGCAGAGCTTTTGGTAGGGATCGGAGCTCTCCCAGCCATTATCACTCACTATAACCTGCCCACATAAAAATTAATAATAAAACTTCAGAATTTTCCAAAACTTCACCAAATTACCAAAGTTTCAGCTGATAATCAAATTTAACTTCTTCAACTCCAACAGAAGGAAGAATTCAACCCATACAACATAAAAACCAAGAAAAATTACAGAATAAATTAGAGAAATAATTACTACAGTGTTTGAAAGTATACCTGTGAAAGTGTGAATGTTCAAGGCTTTTTGATGTACTATTTGAGAGGAACAAAAACTAGAAAAGGACAACTAGAGAGGGAATGTAAGTTCTAGACAACGGGTCGGGTTGAAAATTGTGGGTCGGTTTTGGTTATTAGAAAGCCCAATGACTATAAAGTAAATATCTGGATTATAGCTTGCACCATTTCCATAATATGATCAAGGGAATAACTTTCATCTTGAAAGTTTTTGCGCTCATATTCCAAATAATAAACGTTGCAGAGCCCTTGCTTTTAACCTCCTTTAGTACTTTTTGGGCCTGTTAGTACACATGAAACTAATATGTAAATACATAGTATGAGAAATATGTTTCTAAAGTGACTCCACAGATTGCATCTAGGATGCGCTTAAGTGGCAATATCTCAGCCCTTCATCATGAGATTTGACTAGACCACCTCTCTCTTTCTCTCTCCTCAAAACTCATGTTTCTTATTTTTCTTTTTGAGATCGTGATCCCAAAAACCTTCTCCGCCCCAATTTTTCCCCCTTGTAGTGAGTGGCGCCCTCCCGTCCTCCACCGTCCTCGTCGTTGACGACCCTCACCGCCTTCAGCACCGTCGGCCCTCACCGCCCTCCTCTCCCTCAAACTCAGCGCCGACTGACGACCCCCACCTTATGTTGGGACAAACCCAGGGCCCAATAGTGCAAGGTCACGACGAATAGTAGAGTAGAAGTAATAAAATGAACACAAAGATTTACGTTGGAAACCCCCTAAATGAAATTGGGATAAAAACCACGTGCAAGGATAGAAGAATCCACTATGAGAAAAAACTTAGGAGTTACAATCTCTCTTTTCAAGGAGAAACTCTTATTATTTTTCTCTCGTTCTCTCTCCCTCTCTCTTTCTTTCACTCTAATTAATTGGAGACACTGGGATGATCAAAACTTAACGTCAGGGAAAACTATATATAGATGAGTTTGTGGTAGGTGTGCGCACTGTTGCTACAGTGTCACCATAGCAAGTAGCAGGTAGGTGTTTACTGTAGACACGTTTTTGGATTTCTAGGGTCTAATTAACTCAATGTTAATCATTAAATAAATTTCTGTTAAAGTATAATACTTAATTTGTTGATATATATGTATAAAAGAAGTTTCTTTTATCAAAACGATACAAAAAAGGCTTGTATTAGTTAAATGTGAGTATGAATTGTATCACATTAGTCTGCGTGCGTGGCTTATTCTACCCAATACAAGTCAAATACGAGAACCATTTTAGAGATTTTCCAGTGTCTTCTTATATGGATTGAAATAGCTCGGTCGCATGTTGATGTTACGTATGTCACTTTTCTACTGCAGAGAGATGTGCTACGTGTCATATATGTTTAAAGGGCAAAGGAATACACAAGTTCTTTACTTCCCAAAAAATCCTCAACAGCTTGCAGAGTAAGTAAGACTGTTCACTGGTTATTCATGTTTCGACAATATTACAAAATTAAAAGGTCATCAGTACGATAGCATAGGTAGAATTAATATGCTTCTGTAATTTGGAGTAGAGGAGACTAATTTTGTTCTTATAACCACAAGTATCTTGTGGAAGAAAGATGTAATTCCCTAATTATCTCTCTAGGACACAAGAATCTGGGGACAATTGTGAAAAAGGATCTTAATTAAGGTCGGAATATTAGAGGGGAAGCAACTAAATGTTTTAATACATTCTGAATACTGTAGAGTGTGAGCAGCCTACTCCTAGTTAGGCATAAAAGATGAGTAGAACATTTAAAATAGAGACAAACAAAAAGAAGCTAAAACTGTGTAAACAAAGAACTGAATGGTAGGCTATGGTTCAGTTTGACAAAACCCTTAAAACTAGGGTCACGATTAGTCCTAGCCCGGTTTTATTCTAAATTGAACCAGACTTGTTCCATAAAGAGATGATTTGAAAAGAACGTTTAAAAGACGAAATTTGGCTTAAATAAAGCTGCCGATTCTAGTCTTATTTCATCCAAACACAAAACAAGTAAAAAGTGGACGAGGTTCAATTCTAGTCCAGTTTTAAGCAATTGTCAAACACACCATTAAGATGTATAAGAGATAGCCACTGATTCCCTGAAATGTGTTGCTTGAGTTTTCATGACATGAAGACCATATAATCTTCTGATATCTATTGACACGAGGTATCTATTATTTTAATTTGGCACTAAAATAATCTTATGAATTCCCATTTTGTTTGCTTCTATATTAGCTAGCAGAAATGGGCATTCATAATTGTCATGACTATTCCCACGCGCATCGTATCTTGATTATAAAGGTAACATGAATAGGCACGTAAGTAGTTAACAGGATGGTCTCATTACCCACAAAAATAGACTGTTCTTCTTCTTCTTTTTGTTGAGCGCAAAGTGCTAGAAGCTAACTAATGGAAATGGACCTGAGAGATCTTCTTGGATAGTTCAAAAGAATCAAAAGAATTACTTGCATCAATTCTATATGATGCATGATTTTAAATAAAAATATAATTAAAACATGGAGATTTTCTTTATGAACTTGCATTGTTACCCTCATTTACTTTAAAACCCCACATAGTTTTGCATGTTCTTATACACCCAAAATACAAAGTTTATTGACCTTTAAACCCAAATTATAGAATATCAAGTGCATAACTACATACAATTAGGTGTATAACTACAAACTATACAGTGTATAGCTACATATATTAGGGTGTATAGCTACGTACCAGAGGGTGTATAGCTACATACTTTATGGTGTAAGCTACATCCCTATTGTATTTTTTTTTTGGTCAATGAACGAAAACTTTATTCATCACCAAATGTAGAAATGAATGCGCACATCCAATTACAAGAAGCCTAGAGACTGGTTATATGAATCCAGTCAACACTCATTTACAAATCCTCTATGTAATCTTTCATATGATGTGGTATATTCTCATTTAAAATCTTCGTGTATATACACAACTTCACCGCATGGAATAGCTGATCAGGCCCTCTGGCTTTATGCTGAAAAAGCCTTAGATTTCTTTCTTGCCAAAGCAGATAGACAGATACTGACAGTGCAATTCTTTTCAATTTCTTTTTGAAGCCTTTACCCCTCAAATTCCTATTGTACCAATCAAAAATCTGGTTCCAACTACATGATTGCCAGTTGAACTTCAGCCATTCCATTACTTTCCTCCAAATATATACAGAATATTGACAATCAAAGAAGATATGCTGACAGGTTTCTACTTGGCCATCTCTCGAGCACAATATGCACTGGTTAGAGCTTAACACACTCATTTTGCATAGCCTCTCTTGTGTGAGTAATCTGGAGAGGGAAGTTAGCCACAGAATAAATGAATGTTTGGGGTAATGCCACCCCCCCCAAACAGTCCCTGATCCTTCATACAAAGCAGGCTGCTGCTGAAAAAGCACCCTGTAGATTGATGAAATGCTGATATTATTATTAACACAGCAGCTATTAATTGCATTCAGGAGATTATCAACACTTCCCATCTTATCCCTTATCATGTTTCTAGCTTTTAGAAGCTGTTTCCACATCCATGAGTCACAATTTTTAGACTGTATCTGCCAGATACTAGTTTGTCTCAGATATGTGCCGTGCACCCACTTAATCCACAGAATATCCTTTTTAAGATGTATCATCCAAAGAAGCTTAGCTGCTGTTGCATAATTCCAGAACTTAGCTGAAAATAAACCCAAGCCACCATGCTTTATGTCCTGACAAACAGAGCTCCAAGATACTAAGTGGATTTTGTGACCCCAAAGGAAACTAGAACACATGCTGTCAATTCTTTCAAGCACCTTAACAGGGAGTATGAAGTTACTTGTCCAGAAAATTTGAATACCCAAGATGACAGATTTTATCATTTGCAATCTCCCAGCATAGGACAAAGTTCTAGTATTTTGCCAGTTTTGAAACTGATCAGATATCTTGTTGATGAGAGGAGAGCAATCAAGACATGAAAGCCTTTTTGAGATAAGTGGCATCCCCAGATATTTAATAGGCAACATCCCCTCTGAAAAATTAAGACAGCTGCATATCTGGTTTTTTAGGCCATCTTCAACTCCACTCATAATGATTGAGCACTTAGAGGGATTAGGATTCAAACCAGAGACCTGACTAAACTCCATTAGGCAGTCCCTCAATCTTGTAATAGAGTACATATCTGCTTTACTAAACAAGAGGAGATCATCCGCAAATATTAAATGTGACAGCTTCAATCTTGAACACTTGGGATGAAATTTAAACAATCTATCATTCTTAAGGGTGTTTAGCTTGCGAGACAAGTATTCCATCCCAATAACAAACAAATATGGAGAAATGGGGTCACCTTGTCTTAACCCTCTAGCTCCTTGAAAGTAGCCATGAAGAACACCATTAATGGATACTGAAAACCTGGGAGTGGAGATGCATTCCATAATCCAGGAGATCATAATATCAGGGAATCCTAATCCTTTCAACATAGCTCTTATAAAACCCCAATTAATGGTATCAAATGCTTTTCTAAGGTCAATATTCAGAACAGCTCTAGGGGAGATGTGCTTTCTACCATAGTGCTTGACTATTTCATGAGCTAGAAGAATATTACTAGAAATTAATCTACCTTTGACAAAAGCACTCTGAGCTTCACTTACCAAGAATCCCATGACCTTTTGAATTCTGGATGCAATGATTTTTGTGATGATCTTGTAGATACAATTGCAGCATGATATTGGCCTGTAATCTGCAGCATACTGAGGATTAAGGATTTTTGGGATCAATGTGATGGAGGTGGAGTTGATAGAACCAAGCAATTTCCCAGAGCTAAAGAATTCCTCCACAGCTGCATAAAGGTCATCTTTAATAATGTTCCAAGATGCCTTGAAGAAGAGAGCACTGAAACCATCTGGACCAGGACTTTTGTCATTAGACATAGAAAATACTGCTTGTTTAATTTCCTCTCTAGCAACTGGAAGACTGAGCATTTGCCTCTGTTCAGAAGAGAGAAGAGGACCATTTGCTATCACTTCTGGATCAGGGGTTGCAGTAGGAACAGAAGTACCCAGAATCTTTTTGTAATAATTGATGATTTCTGCAATAATTTCAGATCT